GAGCCTCCTCACATGTCTCTAGAAGCTGCCAGCTTTTGTCTTCAGCCCTCAGAAGGTGAGGGTGGGTGCGATCGCTTGGCCAGGGCCGGTTCAGGGGGAGTTCTTTTGGGGCCAGGCCGTCTCCCCAAACTTCCTCCCACCCCAAAGCCTGGAAACGAGAACTTCCCTCTCCTGCCTCCACCAGGGCCCCACAGATGGGGGAGGCTGTCTTCCGCTCGCAGAGAGGAAGCATCGTCCTCAATTGTTCTGCACGAGCCCAGGCTGCAGGAAGAGGCCACATGGTCACAGGGGCCATTCCTCCTGACCCGGCCCCTGAGCACTGGAGCAGAGCAAGCCTCCTGGGGCAAGTGGCCTCAGGTCTCAGCGGCCCTGGCCTCACCATAAAATCAGGACCTCACGGGGTCCTTGGGAGACCAGAGAGTGAACGGGGAGCTGGGGAAGCCACACAGCATCACCCCAGCTCCAGCATCCCCTGGCCAGAGGCCTCAGGCCCCCCCACCCCTGCCTAGCCCTTTCCCACCAGCCTCATAATCCTGTGACAGCAGATGTCACCGCAGGTTCTGGCTGGAAAGACCCTCAGAGGTCTCGTCGCCCGAGATTCTCATACTGTAGGCAGGTATGTGAAACCCAACCCAGGAGAAGAAAGAACAGTAATGACTCCAACACGGCAATCTCTGTGCTGACTCTCTGCCAGGCTCTGTGTAATTGATGATGAATTATTACTAGTTACGGTATGGATAGCGACGACATATACTATCTCATTTAATCCCTCAAACAACCCTGCGATGAGGAACTACTCTCCCCATTTCATAGAAGGGAACAGTGAGGCTCAGAAACATTGAGAGCCTGGCCCAAGCTCGCCACACCCGTGGACGGTGGAGCTGGAGCCACGCCTGGCTGGACAAGGGCACAGGCGGGTGGCACTGTCAACCCAGAGAGACCCCATCTCCTGAGCTGCTCTCTTCCCCTCACCCCAAGCCTGACCTTTGGCAGAACCCTGAGCCAGAACCAACCTTGACCTTGGCCATGGGCCAGATTCTCTTGGGGCTCCAGAGGAGGGCAAACTAGGGATAACGTGAAGCATCTCCCACACGGGAGAAACTGTGACTCGTCACTCGGAATACTGTGCCAGCTGACAGGTGGCGGCTGAGGATTGTGGAGGATGGGGTGGTGGAGGCAGGCGGATCCAACAGTGTTCTGGGGGGGGGGGCTTCGAAAGCTATGTGGGTTGGACCCCAAACCACATAGAATCCTCTCAAGCTGGCACAAGAGACTCACTATCTTCTAGCTCTCGTCTGTAAGTCGGGGTATTCCTGGGGTGGCACGTGGCATTGTTCCACTGCAAATATTTCCAACCCACGACATTCAAAAGGGTCCTCCTCCTGGATTAGAGATTAATTTCAAGCGGGGATAATGTTTGGGGGTATTATGGGTTTTGCTTAAGTATTTGGAATTAATATTTTTAATACAAGCCCATTTGGCAAGAACAGAAGCCCTAACCTAACCTTTACCACATTGCCGTTCCCTCCCCAGGCCATTAAAGCCCAGCGCCCATGTGGGTTTCGTTTTAAGCCTTCAGAGTGTCTGGGTCTAGCCCTGTAGTTCTCAACCAGGGGTGACTTCGCACCCCTCCCGGGGACATGGGGCAGTGTCTGGAGACATGTTTGGTTGTCAGAACAGGGGGAGGGAGGCTGCTGGCATTGAGTGGGTAGAGACCAGGGACGCTGCCCAACATCCTGCAGTGCACAGGACAGCCCGGTCCTGGCAAAGTTAGGGGACAGTTCCGGGCAGCCTGAGGCCGCTGGTCATCCCAGCGCTCACCATCCCTCACTTTCTTTCACATCACGGGTCTTAAAAATATGAAGAGCGGGGGGGGAGCAGCGGTGGGGGAGCCGGGAAGGGTATTTTCATCACATCAAAATGCTTCCGTTTACATTCGAGCAGGTGCAGCTGTCCAGGCTTATTCTGGAGGGTGCCAGTTGAATACAGAGCCTCCCCATGGGCCAGAGGAACCGTGCTATTTGGTAATTCAGTTTCTTAATATAATTTTGTTGATTAATAACCAATCGAGCAGTTTCCAACTCAGCATTTCAGCCACGGGTCACCTACACCTGTCCTCTCCCCGAATCCTCCCAGCAGCCTAAGCGTGGGGGTTCTTACCCTGTTCACAGATGGCAAAAGCAAACCTCCAAGAGGTGACCTGCCGAGGCCCCAGAGCCAGTACTGGGCCGTAATTCTGACCCCGGGGCCTAAGCCCATTAACGACCAGTCCATCCTGCCCCTCCAGGGAGCCTCAAACTCTGCCCTTTCTCCAGGGCTGGTCCTATCCCAACCAGGAGTCCAGTGGACCCAGGAGAACGAGGTATGCGGGACACAGGGGTCCCTGCGCTGAAGGCGTGTCCCGAGAGGTGGAGGGAACAAAAGGAAACACATGGAACTCAAGGAAAACAGACTTCAACCACTTGAAAACTCAAATCGTCCATGACTTACACTATTATTAAATTCTTAAAAGTCAGGGAGTGGGCCCTCTGTGAAAGAGGAAGACCTGGGCTGGCGAGAAAATTCCACACAAAGAGTAATTTACATCTGTCCAAATTCTGTCGTTTCGGCCCTGATTCTCAACTCGTTACATATCCCATCACCCATTTCCCATCCAATAGAAGAATCAGAACAGTAATAACACTGTTAAGGACGACAGTCACTTGCAGTAAGTGTTGACCGTGGGCTTGGCGGAGTGCCGGCTGCTTGACCAATGTCATCTCCCGTAATTCAATAAGCCGTGGTGCAAGGGCTATGACTGGCCCCAATTTGCAGACGAGGAAACCGAGGGTCAGAGTGGCTCAGGTCACACCCTGGAAAGTGGCAGAGCCTGGACTCAAGCCCAGGTCTGCTTGACTGCAGTCTAGACGTGCACTGGGTTCCTCTAACCGGGAACCAAGGACTAGCACAGACAGAGAAAGGTCACCTCAGGTCTCCTGATACACGCCTGTCTCCGGCCATGGCGCTCGGATGGACTCAGAGCCAACAAAGGGAGTACAGGCCTTGAAGACGGCCATGGCGCTCGGATGGACTCAGAGCCAACAAAGGGAGTACAGGGCCTTGAAGACTCTGTAAACATCCCCCACCCACCCACCCCCGTGCACAGATGGGGAAGCTGAGGCTCCAAGCCAGGCCCACTCCCTCCCCACCACACGCCACGTCCATCTCTGCAGAACTCAGTCCCTTTAGCTTTCCCCAATGTTCTTCCTCTTGGAGCTTGCATCTTTCCAAGTTCAGAAGGACCCTCTGGCTTCCTTACCCTTTCTAGGGAAGAAAACAAGCGGAGCCTAAAAGCCCTAGTTAAACCTTTGTGTCTTGCCAGTTGCCCCAGATGCCTTGCAAAGCCTGAGGAGGTTTTGGGCTTAAGGCTTCTTAGGGAAGGTCCACACCGAATAACTAAGACTCATGTTTCCCTTCTTGGGATAGAAAGTCAGCCCCCAGCCTGGTTTAAGAGCCACTTGGAGAATTAGACTTGGATGTAGACGTCGGGTGGACAGAGGGGAGCCGATGCGTGTCCAGATATGCGCCATGTGCACCTCTGGGGCGGTCGTGGTTACACCTAGCTTTAAGTTTTTCCATGATCATCCTGTTGCCCTTGCAACTTCAGTCATCAAGTGGAGAAGCCACAAGATTTGGTGTCCCCTCCCCACCCTCTCTAATTTCAGCTGGCCCAGGATATTCTCCTTTTTTGTTTTTTTGTTTTTTTTTTGCGGTACGCGGGCCTCTCACTGCTGTGGCCTCTCCCGTTGCGGAGCACAGGCTCCGGACGCGCAGGCTCAGCGGCCATGGCTCACGGGCCCAGCCGCTTCACGGCATGTGGGATCTTCCCGGACCGGGGCACGAACCCGTGCCCCCTACATTGGCAGGCGGACTCTCAACCACTGTGCCACCAGGGAAGCCTGGGATATTCTTAAATCAGTGAAGAGTTCCAAGTCCTTGGGAAAGTCTACTCCATTCCTCACCTGCGGGACCGGGGAGGGATGCTGCACAGGGTAGAGACCCCGAGAGACAGGCTGTGGGCGAGTGTCCATGGCCAGCCATGGGAGTCACGGGGGTCAAGTTGAGGGGCTGCCCTTGGGGCCTGCCTGGTGCTCTCAGAAGCGTCCTCGTGCTATTGTCACCACCCTGTCTTAGGCGGCCCTTCAAGTTAAGTCACCTCCCCCTCTGTCTACAGCTGTTCTTGCCACACGCAGGATGACCATCTCTAGGGTCAGAGAACATGCCAGGGGCTCAGGGTGCTGCACCGAGAGGTACACCCTCCTGGGGACATTCTGGGGACTGGGCTGGACAGAAGAGGTCTGTGGGCCGCTCTCAGCCCTTAGGGGCCCACTGGACCCTTCTGGACACAGACACTGGCTGTCCACATGAAGTGGCCTGCTGCTGCGGAGAGAGAAAACACTGCACTGAAACGCACACCGGGTCTCTAAAACCCTCTCAAACAAAACTCCATCCGGAACAGAGCAGAGTGTTCCCCCAGGTCCTGATGTGCCTCTGAAAACACCAGGGGACGAGTTCAGGTCCAACACAGAGCCCTGCACACTAAAGCTGGAGGCTGCAGAGGCCCAGCTCTCCTTCCCTGAGTACCTGCCACGTGTGCAGGTCTGAGCCGGGCCAAGCCGCAGCCTCTCTAGTGACCCGGGACAGCATGCGTGCTTTGACAAAGAGGCACCTGGTGGAACGTCCCTCTGCTTTCTGGGCATCTTGCAGGGAGGGGTACGGGAACCGCAGGGGGCCAGGGACAGTGGAAGGGAAGGTCCTAGAGCCGTGACCCCAATCTGAATCAACAGGCAAGCCCTCTAGGTCACCTGGCCAAGGAGGAATCAGAGGCCACTTCCATGTCTGCCTAACACTTCCCTCTGGCCCTGGTGGGACCCCTCTCTAACCCCCCCGAGCTCACCCCCAGACCCCCAAGCTCCCCCATCCCAGGGGCCCCCCGAAGCTTGCTCCTGAGCAGTACTCACATGCCCTGCTCCCCATACTGGTTGTAGAACTCCATGTGGCTGCACGCCTGAATCCAGCCAACTATCCAGGTCTCCTTCTTGGGGATGGGCGGCATGACCACCTGGGCCGAGGCACGGAAGTGGGGTGTCCGGTAGCGGAGCACCACGCTGGAGGACTCGTCGATGCTGGTGGGGATGGGATCGATAGAGGCCTTGACATCGATCACCGTGATGCCTTCCCGGAAGACTCTGGCTTTGCCCCCGATGCTCTGAATACAGCCCATGGCACACAGTACGGCTCTGATCCCCAGGGAAGGCCAGCAGTCCCAGAGAAAATCAGGCATTGAAAGGATGGAGGCTGCCGGACCCAGTGCAGACAGTACAGCTCTCCAATCTCAAATCTCAAGACTGATATCCATAGGATAGAAAATTCACTGAGTGGAGGGGGTTTGCATATCACTACCTCGGGCCTGATTATAAATAAGGATTTTGCTGCATTTCAAGGGCCCTGGGTTCTCTCTTCTGCTAGCAGTGGACAAAAATCACCGATATTCTTTGGGTTAAAAAAAGAAAAGTTTGGAGGTTAATGCATAATCATGTTGTGCAGACATCCAGCCCTTCCTTCTGTGCCTCACACGCGGGGAACGCAGCTCAGAGACGCTCCCTGAGGTCTTGAGGCGAAGAAGGCAAATGCCGGCAGGCACAGAAGGAAGGAAGGCTCCGTCGCCTGCGCGGTGCCGCCACCCTCGCTGCAGAAGACCGACTTCCTACCCTTTTACCTTCCGCACGCGCTCGGGGCACACGCACCCGGCCGCTCGCCCAGCCCGGCCGAATCAATGGAAGAGCAGTTTCTGTTCAATCCGCCGAGGTCTGGGCGCCCTCGGTGGCTTCCAGGAGGCGAGCGCCCGGCTCCCGCGGGGTCCCGGAGGAGCGCGGCGCGGATCCCCGTCGGCGACCACTCGCGGGCACGCCGCGTCCCCTCGCCGCTGTCGCTGTCGCCGCCCGCCGCCGTGCGGGGCCCCAGGGCTGCGTTCGGGCCGCCGCCTGGTTCGCCGCGACCGCCGAGGACCTGGTGGGAGGTGGAAGGGACAGAGCGTCAAGGCCCGCCTCAAAGTTGAGCCGAACTTTGCTGCGGGGGGCGCGCGGGGCGGCGACGCGTCTGCGCGGGGCGCGGGCTGCGGAGCTGACGGCGCAGCTCTGTGAGGTCTGCCCGGAGGCGGCGGCCCGCCCCCCGCCCCCCC